AAAACGGCAGGGACCAACACAGGTGTCCGTCTTAGAGAAATGTCCATCTTACGGAGGTGTCCCCGGTTAACAGAGAGTTGACTGTACTCACAAGACGAGTATGCGGTATCATCAGCAAAGATACATCGGTTAATACAACAAAAACTATAACAACAACAACCTATATCGGAATAAAACCACGTCAATTTTCAGTTACAAAAAAACTTTTCACTCCTTCAAGAGAATGTCGTTCAAAACATATATTGATTAACATTTGCACCATCTTGAAACCCGTTTGCAGGCTATAAACAGTTCGTTAACAGAATACATCCGTGTCTCTGTCAAATTGTGTCAAACATGACAAGAACATTCAACCCATGCCATTAATTAAAATTGAGTTTCTAGCTTACTTTGGTCAAAAGTGATTGCTGACCTTGCATGCAAAGAAGGTCTCTGATTCGAGTTTCACTGGAAATACCGTTTTGTTCAAGAGTATCATTGTCCTTTGCGTAGGACGTTGTCTAGTATTGTGATAAATAATGTCCAAAGTGACGCTTACTGCCTGTGCTACGAGATACTGTTCAAAAAATCTAAGGGAAAGAAAGACAACCACAAAAGTAAATTTTTCCAGTGGGATTTACAAGGAAGGAAAAGCGCTGCTCCTTGATGGAAAGTGCAGTTTGTCTATACATGTAGCTGGAGAGAGAAAGAAAATTTTCAAGCTACGGGAGAAAACGTCAAACTGCCACTCTTTGAAAGACGAAAGAGCGATTGTCTTACAACTATATGAGGCTGAGAGAGATATTAAACTGTCAACTGATCGGAGAGAATACTTAGTAGAATGCATAATGAAGGTGGAAAAGATCATGTCGTCACACCCTGCAGGCTACCGAAACTAGTGCACACAAAATAACTGAGAAAATATCCCAGGATATATGTGAAAGTGTACATAAATAATGCACGCAAAACAAAGTCGGAAGTTTGTAGAATAACCGTTGCAGCTTTTCACACGGATTATAATTCTTGGCTGAGATCGGGATGATCCAAGTGCTGGCCAAATTAGTTTCGACCCAGCATCGAGTACCCATATCAGTTCTGTGGTTATGCACCAGACGAACCTTTTTTGTGATACTGAAGAAGAGCGTCAATGTACTACTTTGTCTGGGATCACCATATATGCTATTTGCCATTTATATTATCGGACTAACACATCGGCTTTCATAAATTATTCATTTGAGCCCCTTTCGAACACCAACGGGCTGAATGTCTAATTGCACCTGGTCCAGTTTTTAAATAGAAATCAGCAGCAAAAGACAAAACTAAAACTGACTTTCACTTAGGGTTCAAGTAAGCTTTGGCGAATTAACTGACAAGAGCCAACTTTCATTACTTAGAAAATGACTGCTGTTTAATTAAATGAGTGTCCCAAACGTGTCAATGGCAAACGAAATGTGTATAGCTATTCCCTGTAGAGAAACTTCGCTGCTAAATTAAAAGGATCTTGAAACAGCTTGGGGTGTGTTTTTTTAGCTTAAGTGCACCACGTCACTTACAAGACGACTATATCGCTGTCTTACTAAGTAATGAGCTGTTGTTAGTTTCAGAACTTTGACCATTAGGGATTTATTTCTAAAGCTAGATTTTCAGAATTTTAGATGGGAGCAAACCTCAAATGCAAAAGAATGTATACTTTTTAATTCGAAATACATTTAACGCAGCAAAACATAAGTTAAGACTATTTCTCGTAGAATTTTTTTTTTACCTTAAAGTATACATAATAAAAGCATTAAATAAACTGCTGACTTCAGTGCCAGGAAAAGATCATTTAAAAGATTTACGAGTGTGGTTAAGGGAAGGTGGAATCAGTAGTTGAAGGCGATTAACGTTGACTATCTGGGAATCAAGTGAAACTCACAAAGAGGGTGACACGCTTAACGGACGCCTAATTTTCACTACTGAGCGACGCAAACACAAGGGCAGACACTTACAAGTCATCATTTAACCAGGAAAACGGCCTAGACGCGCGAGCAAGGATGTGCAAAAGCGCATTAGAGGATATATATTTCAGTTTTATTTTCTTTTTCGTGTGAAATGACAAAATTCTCTCTCCCGTAGGTGTTCTCTGACGAAAGCAAACTACCCTGAGGATGACATTAATTTAGCTCATTTATGTATCGGGCTGGACAGTATACAAAGAATTAATACATGGTGATAACCCGCTGATATTACTGTGCTTCGGATAGGTCATTTTTGAGCACACTCTATGTTAAGCTTTCGCTTTCCTTACATGAATGTCTCAGTTCCAAGCTAAGGATTAAAAGTTCCCGATTTTGAGCAAAAAAACGCAAGAATGGGAGAAATCAGCAAAGAACCAAGAACGAAATGCTGTTGGCATCAGAGGATCTCTACGAGATCTTGTCAACAAAAATAACAAATGTAGGGGTACACCAAATCTAAATAACAATAATAATGTGTCGATAATTATACAGAATAACACGTAATATTAGCCTTTTTAGCACGTTATAATTTTGATGTAGTATTGATATTCTGTTCTTGTTGATAATTTGCCTTGTCTGGTTGCCTTAGGAAAAGGTTATAGGATGTCTCTTTCGCTGTCTCAATGGACTTCATATAGGTCCTTCGAGCTTATCATAATAAATTCCCTATGTCAGAGAGGGCGAGAAAAACAGGTATATTTTTAACCTAATTCAAACTTGGAGTCATTTTTATTCATAACACTGCCAAAAGTGGTGGACGAATAAGGAACAGTACCAGATTACAGTGTCCATATATTGTTAAAATGACAGAAAGCCTTTACTATAGCTTCACTGAGTACCATAGTAGTACTCTATTTCGCAATAAATGTACATTCCTGTACATAAACAAATGAGGAAGAAACATGAAAAGCCTTTTTATTGATTAGTCAATCTATTTATGTTTCATTCGTGTAATCTGAGGTGCATAAGTTTCGCCCTAGTCTACTTTTCTAAAGGTATCTATATTATTAGAAAACAGCCATGCTTGTCTTATCGGGTGAACAGCCAGAATGATAAACGATAAACTGTCTTTTGTTAATTGTTTTGGTGAACTGAATATCGCTCGGAGGTTAAAAATAAAGCCATGTGACTGATTTAATCTTGACCTCGAAGCAGATAGATTGAGTCAACACTGCACTGTCGCTATTTAGGCCAATTCAGTTATAGAAGAATTATTAAAACTCACACTTGTCTACAAGGCTTGAGATAATAAAATAAAAGAAGTGTATTATTCATTGCTGAGCCTCAAGTTTTTTTATTCATTTATTTCTTCTTCTTCTTCTTCTTCTTCTTCTTCTTCTTCTTCTTCTTCTTCTTCTTCTTCTTCTTTTGTTTTATTCCTCAAAGCCTCGAGGCTTTATTTTCATGATAATAACAAATTAATAAATGATCCATTCTAGTTAAAGTTAAGAACTCAGAAACAGCATTGCGTGGTCTGCTCGGCAAGGTAAATTCACGACTTGCAGTTATGGGCTACCATTTGATATTACATGAAATGTTGTTAACAAACTAATATCAATATTTTGCTCTTTAATGGTTATTAATGTGGCTGATGTTGTTGTTATCTTTCGGTACTTTGAGAGCTTTAGGTGCTTTTTCTTGCTTACGTCGAAAGACTGTATATAGGTCTTTCGGCGTGCTTGATAATAACTTACTTGGCCCTTTGTCTCTCATTCGTGCTTATGATAATCCAGGCAAAGAGCTAATGCTACATTTGAGACGTTCATAGCACCAACAAACTATACAGACAACATGAACGTTTCATCAGCAAACACAAACAGTTGTTCTCTTTCAATGGCTCATGGTATTCCACTTATCTTAGTCAACGCTATCGTTTGCGTTTTGGGATCACTTGGAAATGTGCTTGTTTGTTTGGCCATTGCTACAAACTCCCGCTTACGCCGAGCCTTCAACTATCTTCTATTCAGCTTAGCAATCGCTGATCTAATTATCACCTTCATATGCGAGCCAGTCGTTCTGGAATACATCACCTTCCTAACATTCTTCCACGAGTGCAGAAGAAGCCCGAAGAGACGACTTGTGTACACCATTTTTTCTGTTCTTTCATGCCAATCCTCAGTTTTACATTTGGCGGCAATCAGTCTTGATCGTTTCGTTGCCGTTGCGTTTCCACTGCGCCACAAACTCTTCATGGAAAAAGGCGGACTTAAGATTATGCTCATAGCATCATGGTCCATTCCGATTCTTACTTCCGTTTTACCCAATATCATTTCGACAGGTTCCACTCCTGTCTTTTATTTTATCAATATTGGAATCTTTGCTTTTAGCGGTTTAATTATTTTATTTTTTCACTTTCTGATTGTGCTAGTTCTGCTCTACTACAGTAAGAAAAAAAAGCATATAAGAGTTCGAGCAGTTTCAGTCCGGGTCACTTGCACACTGGCTATCGCAACAGGCGTCTTCATCGTTTGTTGGGCTCCAATAATTACGGTGCTTGCCGTTGACAAATGGCGGAGAAGCCCTCTACACTTTTGGCTCCAAACTCTGGCTCTGTCAAACTCAGCCATGAACTTTGTTATTTACTCTGCTAGAATGCGGGACTTCAAAATTGCATACGTTGGTATCTTACGCAAGATGCTCTGCCTGTAGAGCGCTTGTCGTTCACTACAGTTTCAAGATCTGATAAACTACTGAGAAAGTTGAACCCGTAGTTATATAATCTTTATCGTTATTATAGGTAAATACTGCCCAGAAATGAAAATAGCTCTATAAAGACTTAAAAGTTTGAAGTGTCAGTTCCTTTTAAGTGTTATTTTCGAAGTTGTCCATTAACAAATCCCCAAGATTTTGGGGAGCATACCCGTAACGTTTTTAGTCAAAACTAGTGAGGGAAAGAGGTATCAGAAAATCTTACGTTTTCTTAATAGTTCGTTTGAAATAATTTGAATTCATTAGAGTTATTAATAACACAAATAATAATAATGATCATCTTCACTCGTTCATTTTCTGTAACCCTTTTGATAAACTCATAGCGGAAAAAGAACTCAGGGAGAAGATCGACCACTATCAAGAATAAAAAGTGAAAGTGCAAAAGATCTGGAACTGCAGAAGTGTTTCTGTCATCCCTATTACAAAGTCGGAAGTTTGTAGAATAACCGTTGCAGCTTTTCACACGGATTATAATTCTTGGCTGAGATCGGGATGATCCAAGTGCTGGCCAAATTAGTTTCGACCCAGCATCGAGTACCCATATCAGTTCTGTGGTTATGCACCAGACGAACCTTTTTTGTGATACTGAAGAAGAGCGTCAATGTACTACTTTGTCTGGGATCACCATATATGCTATTTGCCATTTATATTATCGGACTAACACATCGGCTTTCATAAATTATTCATTTGAGCCCCTTTCGAACACCAACGGGCTGAATGTCTAATTGCACCTGGTCCAGTTTTTAAATAGAAATCAGCAGCAAAAGACAAAACTAAAACTGACTTTCACTTAGGGTTCAAGTAAGCTTTGGCGAATTAACTGACAAGAGCCAACTTTCATTACTTAGAAAATGACTGCTGTTTAATTAAATGAGTGTCCCAAACGTGTCAATGGCAAACGAAATGTGTATAGCTATTCCCTGTAGAGAAACTTCGCTGCTAAATTAAGAAGGATCTTGAAACAGCTTGGGGTGTGTTTTTTTAGCTTAAGTGCACCACGTCACTTACAAGACGACTATATCGCTGTCTTACTAAGTAATGAGCTGTTGTTAGTTTCAGAACTTTAACCATTAGGGATTTATTTCTAAAGCTAGATTTTCAGAATTTCAGATGGGAGCAAACCTCAAATGCAAAAGAATGTATACTTTTTAATTCGAAATACATTTAACGCAGCAAAACATAAGTTAAGACTATTTCTCGTAGAATTTTTTTTTACCTTAAAGTATACATAATAAAAGCATTAAATAAACTGCTGACTTCAGTGCCAGGAAAAGATCATTTAAAAGATTTACGAGTGTGGTTAAGGGAAGGTGGAATCAGTAGTTGAAGGCGATTAACGTTGACTATCTGGGAATCAAGTGAAACTCACAAAGAGGGTGACACGCTTAACGGACGCCTAATTTTCACTACTGAGCGACGCAAACACAAGGGCAGACACTTACAAGTCATCATTTAACCAGGAAAACGGCCTAGACGCGCGAGCAAGGATGTGCAAAAGCGCATTAGAGGATATATATTTCAGTTTTATTTTCTTTTTCGTGTGAAATGACAAAATTCTCTCTCCCGTAGGTGTTCTCTGACGAAAGCAAACTACCCTGAGGATGACATTAATTTAGCTCATTTATGTATCGGGCTGGACAGTATACAAAGAATTAATACATGGTGATAACCCGCTGATATTACTGTGCTTCGGATAGGTCATTTTTGAGCACACTCTATGTTAAGCTTTCGCTTTCCTTACATGAATGTCTCAGTTCCAAGCTAAGGATTAAAAGTTCCCGATTTTGAGCAAAAAAACGCAAGAATGGGAGAAATCAGCAAAGAACCAAGAACGAAATGCTGTTGGCATCAGAGGATCTCTACGAGATCTTGTCAACAAAAATAACAAATGTAGGGGTACACCAAATCTAAATAACAATAATAATGTGTCGATAATTATACAGAATAACACGTAATATTAGCCTTTTTAGCACGTTATAATTTTGATGTAGTATTGATATTCTGTTCTTGTTGATAATTTGCCTTGTCTGGTTGCCTTAGGAAAAGGTTATAGGATGTCTCTTTCGCTGTCTCAATGGACTTCATATAGGTCCTTCGAGCTTATCATAATAAATTCCCTATGTCAGAGAGGGCGAGAAAAACAGGTATATTTTTAACCTAATTCAAACTTGGAGTCATTTTTATTCATAACACTGCCAAAAGTGGTGGACGAATAAGGAACAGTACCAGATTACAGTGTCCATATATTGTTAAAATGACAGAAAGCCTTTACTATAGCTTCACTGAGTACCATAGTAGTACTCTATTTCGCAATAAATGTACATTCCTGTACATAAACAAATGAGGAAGAAACATGAAAAGCCTTTTTATTGATTAGTCAATCTATTTATGTTTCATTCGTGTAATCTGAGGTGCATAAGTTTCGCCCTAGTCTACTTTTCTAAAGGTATCTATATTATTAGAAAACAGCCATGCTTGTCTTATCGGGTGAACAGCCAGAATGATAAACGATAAACTGTCTTTTGTTAATTGTTTTGGTGAACTGAATATCGCTCGGAGGTTAAAAATAAAGCCATGTGACTGATTTAATCTTGACCTCGAAGCAGATAGATTGAGTCAACACTGCACTGTCGCTATTTAGGCCAATTCAGTTATAGAAGAATTATTAAAACTCACACTTGTCTACAAGGCTTGAGATAATAAAATAAAAGAAGTGTATTATTCATTGCTGAGCCTCAAGTTTTTTTATTCATTTATTTCTTCTTCTTCTTCTTCTTCTTCTTCTTCTTCTTCTTCTTCTTCTTCTTCTTCTTCT